CGAGAGGGTGATTTCATATTTTACAATCCTTTCTGAAGTGATATTCCTGCAACACATGGTGCCTATGTTCTGATCCTGGGCTGGGCGCTCTCAGGAAGCACAATCTGTAAAGTTTCCTTGAAGTCTGAACATACAGTATAGAACCGTTAGAGCTGATGAAGGTTTAACGGCGTACCTCTAATTAAAAGCTTGGGAATGGGATAGAGTGCTACCTATGTCTGGCTTGCAGACAGGAAGGTGACACAATTCCTTTGCAACCTCAGAGAAAGAGATCAAATGTTTGTTTTTTTTTTTTAATATGTTTTTATAGAATCAAAGACATTTTTGAAGAAAGAGACTTCTTATTTTAAGTAGCATGTTAAGTTCACTGATACAATGGAGGAAATAAATGAGGCTTTTTTTCAACCTTTGTCACACATGAATCATATCAAATCCAAACATTTTGAACAAAACAGTCTTCTCAGATGATATTGTCAGGAAAAGAACAGACATTCTGGAAAAGAAATAGATAATCATGAAACACAAGAATCTTTCTCCAATGCAAGCATGATCAGTCTGTACTACCATATGCGATGGCACTGAGTGTGCTGTAAAAAAGGACATCAGATGACTCTGAAAGTACCTATTCTCTCCTCCCCATAAAAGCAGAAAAACAGTGACATCTCTTAGAGGATGTGATGCTGAGCTGGTGTAGGAGATACGAGGATTGTCAGCTTGAAGTTTTTTGGACAAGAGGAAGCCTTTGAGTAAGTTGGCAGCTGGACAGCTTAGAATGCTAACAGCAGGACTCCACACTCATGAATCAAGTGAAGTTACTGAGGAAAAGTTAAAATGGAAAAATGCCCATACTCCTAAGCTTTTAAAATTAATATATTGTTAAGGAGGTGACAGTACTGTTTGGATCATAAGCTGAAGGCTCCTGACTTCATTCATGCCATGCCCAGTTTAAACCAGCTGAGGTCTGCTGATGAGCGGGAGTGTTTTCAGCCACTACATGTGTCAGGGTTATTTTTCTCTAGTGGTGGTGATAGTGGGGGGTATTTCTTGTTCTCACTCCCTCTTTCTTCCTGCTTTTCTTTCCTCTCCCTCTCTTTCTGCTTTGTTTTGGTTTTGGTTTTTTTTTTGGCCAGCAGTTCCTGTAGTTTGACGAAGCCCTTCTGTACTACTTACATTCAAATGCTTTTGTCAGTTCTCAGGCAGCCGGCATCCCTCACAATGAAATGTGAATAGAAGGGAATATGACTTTAGTTCATTTACAGCAACACCTTATGCCTCTGGAAGGAATATCCCAAAGTGCTTTTATCTCAGCGTCTGCAGTTAGCTCCAAGTTAGTCCTTCCCAGCCACAAGCAGGACTTGTGGAAGTAAATGATATTGTTAATATGCTCCTGATGTAATCTTCAGTGAGTATCTATGATATCAGAAGGTAGGGCTCTCTCCTGAATTTTAAATAACACACCTGGCTTAACATATTTCCTTTTCCAGATTCGGTTCTTCAGATACTGCAATGAACCTAGCTTGAGCCGCTTCTTGCCTTTTGTAACCATCTCTTGCAGCGCAGTGCCCCCTAGCACTGTGTCTACACATTCGTGCAGGATGGAGGGAGGGAAGAAGGCGTCTTTGCTCAGTCAACACCACCTGCATGACATGGCTTTCCCTGGGAATTTTCACACCAACTATTGACCCATCCCGGTCATGCTTAGCTTGTGGGATCCGAGAAGATCACAGCATGAAGTGGTGTAGTTGCCCAGTAAAGCAGAGAGATCCTTAATTGTGTTCAACAGTGTGTTCTTGGTGGAGGACTGGAATAGCACTGATTTTTTCATTTGGTCACATTAACCAAATGTGAACTCTAATTTTCTCATATGAAGGTCAAGGTCTCTGTTTCCTCCTTCTTTCTCTGCTACATTTTGGTGGACATATAAGGCTTAAAGTTTTATCTAGTCAAAGGAGAGGAATGCTAGGTTTTATTTTATTTTTTTTTTTCCTTTGCAGTTTCTCCCATGCAGCATAGAACAAGAATTCAGACAGAGCTCTTCTTTCAGTTCCCTTACTGACTTTCTGTGTTATTTTGACACCATTATCAAATTTTCTCATACAAATAAACACTCACCTGGCTCTTCCAGAGTGAGAGAGGCTAATATAGCACACAAGATTTCTATTTACTGATAACAAGACAAATGTACAGGCAGGTGAAATTATTTAACCAAGGCCTGCCAGCAGGCCGATGGTCAGAATGAGCTTTTCTCAGTATTATTTACCTGTGATATACAAAAATAAAGCACTCTGGTCTCTGTGCATGAAATGTGCCCTTTAAATGGCAAATAAATATTGTTATTATTGTACAGTATACAGTCCTGGTTGAAAACCTGCAACCCTACTACTAACAGAGAAGTTAATCTCTTTGTAAAAGCGTATCTAAGTGTCCAACAAGCTGGTGAATCAGCTAAACCTTAACTGAGAGGACACAGGTATTACCTGTCCAGGCAATGCTAATACATGCATTAAAAAAAATTCTGGATCACCTCTCAAATAATGGTATGGAAGCTTTGCCACAAAGACAGCCTGCACACCATCCCTTCCACACAGATGTGCCCTGCCACTGGATCAAGTGGTGGCACCTCTTTTCATCCTGAAAAGTAATGGCAGATTGCTTCTCAGCTTGAACTAATTCCTCTAAACGACACATACTTGGTGTTACTTTAACAAGCTTGGTCAGTCTCACTGAAAATGATCTACTTCCATGCCTTGGAGGGCTCCATATAACTGCAGTAACTTCTAGCCCCCCTCCTCTCCCTCTTCCCTCTTGAGAAGATAATTGAAGAGTTTGTTTTTCAGTCTCTTCTGAATGTGTCCTGCATCTCTGTGTTACAGACACTCAGCATATACACAGTACCCAATTTAAAGCTTATTACAAAGCATACAGCTTGTCAGAACTCAGAACATGCAGGAAAGGTGTTATTATAGAAATGAAGAAACATACTCAGAGGAGTTACTTGCCCAGAGAGTGAAGGGAGGTGGTGGTGGAGCTTTGATTATAATCTAGTTGTGTGTGGGCCAAACTCTTTCTTATTTACACCAGTGTCAAGTTATGGAATAACTCCACTTCCCTCAGATATTGATCTGAGATGCTGATGGACCAGGTGTATCATGATGTTTGTGATACCCAGCCTTTTACAACAACAAAAGAAAAATGAAAGTGCCAGACACACCTCATTTTTCTTCCATGTTACTCTGCTGAGATCAGTGAAGTTGTTCCGTGTTTACACTCGGTGAGATTGAAATGACAGTCCAATCTGATGGATTCAACTTCGGCTGCAGTACTTTGAGCAGACAGTCCAAGTACCTAAAGAGTTTTTTTTTGCACAGTTTCTCATACAGCAATTTGGAACACAACAATTCGAACACTGACGGGACTAAATTAAATGTGCTGTTTAATACCCTACTTCATGATCCATTAGCACCCCCACATCACCTAATTTTTTCCGTGTGTTCATTAATACACATTCCTGAGAAGCTCCCATCACTATTATCCCCATTACACAGACTGGGATTTGAAGCAGTGAGGCAAAGCTGTCACACAGGTTGTCTGTGTCACACCAAGGGTAGGAATCTGCACTCCCCACTGTTAGCATTGTAACTTTGATCTCTACTAGCAACACCCATCTTGGAGCTTTTGTGTGTGCTCCAAATAAAAGCCTATGTTTCCATAAGACTGGAGGTTTTAGTTTTTTGTGGACAGTATGATTAAAGAAAAGGTGTAGGCAGGCTGTGCTTCACCCAGATGGAGCAGAATTGTAAATCTGAAGACTTAGTTGACTATTTAGAAATTCAGGACAGCTGGTCCCTGGCCTTTAATACCAGCATAATTTATAACTAGACATGCTTAAGTCTTGTAAACCCCATGGAAAGTACTCTGATATTATATACACTGGTTTGATACTGTGATTAATCACCCCTCGGTCCCCTTTGCAGGATAATAAGGCTGTCTGTATCTTGCAGCTGGCAATCCCCTTCCTTACAGTCCCATCTCTTCTATAACATTTACATTTCTACAGCTGACATAAATTTACAGTTCCAAAAGCGGATAAGGGAAAACAAAACAAACAGGACTTTTCTATAAATTCCACTAAAGCTGCTCTGCTAAAATATACTTTGAGGTGAAATGTTGGGAGTGCCCGGGTAGATATGACACTGCTTTTGCCAGCTTGGTTTTAGCAGTTTATGACCCCTTTCTGACCGAGAGCCGTGAGAAGGGGAAGCAGTGGGTAACGATGTGACAGGAGAAGGAGCATTTGAGCAAGAGTATACGCCCATGGCATGCGGCTTGGAACACGATGATCTTAAGGTCCTTTCCAACCCAAACCATTCTACGATTCTATTAAAACCCGCAGGATGCAGTCCTGCTTTCTGGTTCAGCTAGGTCTTCACCTTATTTTCCTCCCAGCAGAACAGCAAACCCCTCGCGTTTTCCAGGTGCCTCTTCGCACCCTGAGGTGCAGAGCGGGCAGCCGAGGGTCCCGGCTGAAGAGGAACACACAGGCTCCTCAGGGCCAGACCCTTCTGGGCACTGGCGGCTGCGGGACGGATACTCGCGGGTACAACTAGCTGTGAGAGTGCAGCGCGCACACTCACCTCGGTGGCACCGTGACGGGACGGGGCACTTCTCCTCAGAGCCCCGGCTACCTGCGCCACGGCGGGCAGGCCACCCGCCCCACCGCCGCCGCCCGCACTCAACCAAGCGGCGCTCCCCGCACTATTCCGTATAAGGCGCTGAAGCCGCGGCCCCGCCCCGCCCCATTCCGTCCCGTTCCGCTGGCCGCTCCCGCCGATGAGGTAATGCGGGGTTCCCATTGGTCCGGGGCGGCGGCGCCCCCGGAGTCCGAGAGGGCGCGATCGAGGCTATAACTCCGCTCACCGGCGCTCCGTGGTGCAGTGTAGCTCTGCACGGCTCGGGACTGCGCCCTCTGCGTACTTGCTCTTCCATCAGGCTCGCACCTGAGCTAAGGCTGTACTGCTGAGGCCGGCGGGACAGAGGGGTAGTGTGAGGAGGCAGGCAGGCAGGCGGTCACAGCGCACGGGGTGTTAGGAGGTGAGAGTAAAGTGAGGCGAAGAGAAGCGCGGCTGCCTTCCTGCTCCGCACAAGTGAGGAGGCACCCCGGGGGGGCAACATGACGGCGTGGCTGAGCTTCCTCGTCGTGTTTCTCTGCAGCTGGAGCCTGCGGGACTTGGTGGTGGAGGCTTGCACTTGCGTCCCCATCCACCCGCAGGACGCGTTCTGCAACTCCGACATCGGTAAGTACCGTGGGTGGCGACTGCCGCCCCTCAGCCTCCCCTCAGCCTGAGGCGGCCCCGCCGGGGCTGGAGGGGCTCCCCGGGGGACTCGGCACTTGCCCTGTTGCTCGCCTGTTTAGAAAGTTCCGCGGGACCCTGAGGGGTGCGGGCAGCAGTCGAGCTGTCACCACAAGCGAGTCTTCGTCCTGCAGGTCACCCGATGGAAGTGGAGGTGAGGTGGGTTAAACCTGTGAGGGGTGACCTGCCTTTGCAAGATGGGTAACGGCTCCGTAGCTGCTGTATATGCCTGGGTGGAGAGGTGTGTGGTGGCGGACCCCCTTATCTCTCCTGAGGCAGCAGGTCCTGTCCCATGGCAGTGGTGCCAGCCTCTCCAAGAAATACTTGTAAGAAATCAGTAATTGTGAGAGTGGCTTGTTTCCTACAGCAAAACAAAAACACAATTGGAGGTGTGGGCGGCAAAATTTCCTCCACAGCCTGGTGGCAGTTACTAGGAGGCAGGATTAGGACAAGTTCTTTCAAGCTGGGAAACTGCATGTGGCGGTTGGTATGAAAGGTATAGCTCATATGGATCGGTGGTGCTGCACCAGTCGCTTTGGGGAGGGCTGGAGAAGCAGGCAGCAAGTGTCTTTCTGCATGCTGTATTGTGATCTTTGCAGCTGTGGGAGGTGTGCAAAAGTGCATGCTTTTTGGAAAGTCGAACACTTTCGTTGGCTCCCTGCTGATGGTCTCTGCTGTGGATTTTAGCACCCCTAGGGATCTTTACTACACTATCTTTAGGGGACAAGTGTTCTCAGAATCTCTTGAGGAGGAGGTAGTGGAGAGTCTGGTCTCAGATTGTAGCCAAGGATGGTTAACCAAATATGGTTGCTGCTTGGTAAGTGTCCAGTAGGAAAGTGTCTGAAATTAATTAGTGGTGTCTTTTGAGTTAATACTGACACACATCAACATAACAGTAAATAAAGGCTGTCACTTCAGCAGTTGTGAGTGGGCTGCATGAGTGAAGTCTTCTTGCACCTTTATAGGCTTAGTAGTGAAGTGTAAAAGGGGTTGGGGGACTTTGCATTGCTGGTACCTACACAGTACTGATTCCTAGTAGAACCTACAAAGAAAGCCTTCTGGCAACTGCTGTGGAAGTCAACTAGAAAATAATTCTCACAGCAGCAGAACACCCATTGCTATGAACCCTGCCAGTGGCTCTTTCAGGTTAGCCAAGCTTACTGGCAAAAAAATCTCCCTCTTGCCTTTAACTCTTGTACAGAAACTGCAGTTATGCCTGGGTATTCATGTGTAGCTTATAGAGTGTATCAGCTCTTAAACGCTAAGAAAAACATTATATGTTAAAAGTGCTGGGAAGGCTACCGTTTGCTTCAGTGATGATACCCTGGAAAATGTTTATAAAATACACTTGTGAATTCTCCCAGGAAACTGCAGTATACAAAGTTCTGTTACTGTTTTCATAGCTTGGATCAATAAGCGTGCCACCAAAGCGGCAACTGCTGGAGAGATTGTCTTTTCTGTGAAAGTCAGGCTGGGAAACTGTATTTTCCACAGCTGGAGCTGATGACAGCATGTGGGCTTCATTAGATCCATTTTGGGCAAAGGTCTACTTTGTTGCTTTAATTAGGTTGTGTTATACTAGATTAAGGGTAGGTTTTTGTTTCAACTTATGAAAATGGTGTTAAATATGTAATGAGTACATGCTAACAATATATTTTTGCTAAACACAAGTAACCAGAAGTGTGGTAAATTATGATGTTTCATCTTAAACTTCAAGATGCAAAGTTTTTTTTTGTTTTCTACTCTGATTTCTGGTTGAGTTCAAAGTCATCACCTTCATCTCTTCTTCTTCTCTTCTGGACGCTTCATTATATCTCATGCCTTGGCTTTGCCCCGAGACATAGTAGTTCAAAAAGTTGGTGTCAGTGGGGCTGTCATACCTTCAGACATCACGGCAAAGGAGGAGAAGGAAGAGGGGAAAGAGCAACTCATTCTAGTAGATGACTGAAATGCAAGTTTGGTTAAGACCACAGCTGTGTGATGGGTTGAAGCAAAAGTAAATGATTACATTTGCTAGAACTGTCTGGAAAACATGATGTTTCTGCAGGCTGATTTTAGTAGATGCTGTCATGTCCCTCATGTGCTGAAAGGGCAAAAAGCATGCTAAAGCATTGTGGCTCTGGAGGAGTTAATTATCTCCATGGAAACTGATAGCAGTGTACTAATGCAGTGTTTAGACAGACTAAACTACACGCTGGGTTATAAAACACATTGTGGGGAAGAAGGGGACTTGGCAGCAAGTTTTTATCGCTCTTGAAACTCCTGACAAAATACCAGCTCAAAAGGGAGGAGTCAGTGCAGTAAGGGCTGGAGCAAAAGAGCTTTTTTAAAATAGCTCCTAAAACAATACAAGAAATTAACTAGCTAGATGGCAGCCTACGAGTGGCTTTTCATCTTCAGAAGCACTGGATTTTGAAGAAGGAGAAAACATTTAGGAGTGTAAGACAAATTCTTAGTGTTGGTCTTTCATGCCTAGCCAGTGAAGTCCTGCTCTCAAGTTTATTCTCTTCTCCTTTAATCTGATCTCACTGGACATTTAATTTTTGATCTTGGTGTGGCTCCTTTCTGATATGACCTCCCAGCTCTGCAGTCATTAGAAGATTTTAATCTTTACAGAAACAGATGGACAAATAAACCATTAGAAAGAGGAGGATTTCAAAATGTACATCATTTGAAAGTGAAGGTTGTCTTCTAAAGGAAGCTTGGACTCGATACGCAACAATATCTTTATTATTAACGAAGAGGGGTGGGGGGGAAGAGTAGCTACTGCCAGACTGGTCACAAAGGGTCTTTTTACTCAGTCTGAGCATTCCAGCATGATGAACAGAGCAAAAGCGAAGAGGTGTGTCTCATCTGGCTGTCTGAGGTCAATCAATAATAAAATTGCTGTTTTAACTCCTGGCTTGCTTTCTTTAACTGGATCAATAAGTGCCAGAACAGGCAGTACAATAATCAGACAAATAGCAAAACAAACAGCAACTGCTATGAGTTGCCATTTGAACTTTGCTTCCTCCACTCCCACCCCCTGCCTGCGACCCCTTCCAGATGTGAATATTTTTCTTTTATTTGAATTAAGAGACCTTTTGAAAGAACAGACACCAGGCATGCTTTGTTCCATTGTGACAAAGCTGTGACATTTCCAGCTGGACATAGCTGACATGAAAAGGGCTTGTTTGTCCTTTTTTTGCAGGAGCAGCAGGAACTTTTGAGCTGGCCCCCTCTCCCTCACCTCCCCTTTAAAAACAAAACAAAAACCCAAACAAACAAAAAAAAAAAAAGAGGAAAAATACATGAAATTACTGGACTTTTGTCAAACCAGTCTGCAAGTGATAAGTACTTTGTCCACTCCACACCTATCTTGCTTTCATCTCGTGCATGTACTTCAGGAAAGAGCTATGGCACTGCTAGCTGTCTCTTTCCTAAGTTCAAAGGAGCTCAAAATAACACTCCCTTGTAGAGTTTGTGTTGGGGGAAGAAGTATCTATTTCAGTAAGGATGATGGTGGGTATTGCCCCTTGCTGTTCTAAATAACCTGACTCTTGGTGAGCTAGAGTTGGCAAGCTCTGGGGAGGTGAAGGTAAGCCAAGAAATCCTTGGTGCCAAGGAAGCCAGTCATTCCTCCATCCTGCTGTACCCATAGCACTAAGATCACAACATCTGCAGTGGCCTCCTTTGAGCTGAGAATGTGATACAAGAAGAGCAGAAAATAGCAGACAAAGAGGAAGCTCATGAATTTGTTTGGCCCAAAGTCTAAGCACCTAATTGAAAACCTGCCCTTTGTCTTTCACTGGTTTTCTTGAATTGATCATTCCACCTTCTCACTAGTTATGCATATCTCTTTTAGCTTACAACTTGATCATACATGAGATTTTGACATGCATTCTTTGCCTTGACATGAACTCTGTAGTGAGGTCACATTGGATGCTTTATCCTTTAAGGCAGACAAATAAGGTCTGCCAAATTAATTTTAAAGCTACAGTAAACCAGCTTCCATTAATTATTATGCCAATCTTTTTAGTTGAGATGAATTTGAAACAAATTTTTGGACTGCATGTCATAGTAATGGTTGCAAAAGCATTGTATCCACTTTGGAATCTGGCTTTTATTGAGGAAGTAATGTGGTTTTGTTTTTAGACTGGACTTCCCTTTGAGGCATTTTAGAAGCAGGAAATCTGAGAAGTACCCTATAAATAAAAGGGTACTGTGAATTCCATTTTACATGGGAAGAAATTGGGGAGATTTGTTAAACTTTTAACTTCTAATGTCCATGGTAAAAGCTGTGGTGAAAGAGCATGTTCCTTGTGCCTGGTCATGTCTTCTGTCAGGAAGATGGCTATTCTGAACTGAATTTCCCTACTTAATAGAAGTGGAAATAGAAGTTGCTTATTTATCAGTTTTGTTGGTTATTTGCAATTAAAGTGCACAGCAGAGAAGAGAGATCACCTTGTGGGATTTGGAATATGCCACTTCTCCAAATGTATGTATTAATAAAAAATATGGTGGAAAATACTGTTTGGAAGATGCAGTGCCGAATGTTGCATAAAGCTCCTTTGTTATCTTGCTACTGTTGCATATGCTTACCCCAGATTTCCTGAAGGAAGTAACTCCAGCAAGACCTCTGAGCCAGCAGGGAGCCAGATGTTCTAATCTTGAGCTTTAGAGCTGCTTGCTTTATGTAGACATTTCTTTTGTTCTCATTTTCACTGATTTTTCCACCTGTTCTTGAGAATTCTCTACCTGCCAACTGCTCTCTTAATGTTTCTGGGAAGAAGCAGGCTGAGGGGAACATAGTTATATACAGCCATATACACTAACAGCATTTTAAGTTTTCATTTGGGGTTGGGAAGGGCCTGCTTTATTCATGTCTGTTTTTCAGGATGACCAGATTTGGTTGTTTTACCATAGGAGAGGTCATTTGTGGACTCAGATTTTCCAAGGCACTA